AAGGACGAGAAAGGGAAGAGCGTTCCCGGCGTGGTACTACCTACAAAAGGGGAAGTGGCTGCTTTCCATGCTGACAGACGGCATGCTACAGAGGACTGGAGCGGAGGACACCGATGGATGGTGGCGTGTTTCACGTCCCGTGCTATCGTTGAGAGTACCAAGAACGAGAAGAGGCGACTTCGTCAATGGGGTTTTCCTGTACCAGACCTACGACATCTCACGCCGGACCGCAAGATGCTGAGGACCTTCCACGACAACAAAGAAGCCGACCCACCGAAGTTCATGCCGAGGTACAGTGCCCGGAAGGGGATGTGGAAGACGGCTATCCGGGCGAGTGCTTTCTTCACTTGGTCATTGGCCACCATTTCGGCAGCTCGCGGCCAGCTGTACAACGACTGTCCTAAAGGGCCAGCTCTCTTCGAGATCGGGGGCTGCAAACAGACCGTCGAGATCTCCGAGGTCGAAGGGATTGATTTCGTGGAGCCCCTGGCATGGAACGATCTACATCGCGAAGATGGCGTCCAACGAGTCCATGATACAATCGGCGAGCTACGACCTGGAGTTCTTTGGCTACACCCGCCCACGAACGTCATCGACTACAACCCCAGGGAGGAAAACGTGCAGGAGCATCCCCGACGGGTTTTCCATGATATCCTCGAAGAGTGTGGGAGGGCACATGTCAAACATCAAGGAACTTTGGTTGTCGAGGTGTCCGCCGAGCCCGAGGATCGGAAGGAGTTTGTCTATCAACGACTTCGCGGGTTTGGAGAAGTGACAGAGCATTTCTTCGGCGATACACATTTCTACAAGGTCAGGGACGCGAACTATCACGAGGCTTTCGTCTCTGCGAATGGAGATGGACCAGAACCGGCCGACGACCTACTTGTCGGAGAAGCACCTGAGCGACCTATGCGCGAGGGGGCCAGCGGAATTACCTTCGGGAAAGATGTGAAAGGAGATGTGGCCGCTACTTTGCGGCGGCTGCACCAGAACCTCGGCCACCCGTCCAACACCGACCTCACCAGACACCTGAGGCTCGCGGGCGCTTCGGAGGAGATCCTCAAGGCCTCCCGCTCTTTGTCATGTGAAACTTGCAAGCGATGCTCCGGACCACGGAGCCCAAAACCCGCGTCCGAGCCCAAGCTTCTTGAGTTCAACGACGTCGTCGCTGTGGACATGTTCTTTGCCTTCGACATCGAGGGCAAGAAGCAGAAGCTGTTGTCGATCGTCGACTGTGCCTCCAGCTACCACGTCGTTATCAAGGTGCCCAATCAGACTGGCGACACCCTCGAGAAGGTTTTCCTCAAACACTGGATACAAATCTTCGGAGCTCCTAAGGTTATATCCCTCGACCTCGAGACCGGCATCCAGGATGCTTTCTCCAGGCTGAGCGACTGGTTCCGCATTGATCTCCAGACCAGTGCCGGGCAAGCACACTGGCAGGCCGGGTTTGCCGAACGACACGGCAAATGGTGGAAAGAGATTTTCAAGAAGGTTGTCGAGGAGAAGTCGGTGACGAACGAGGAGGTGGAGATCGCCGTTGCCGCGACCTCTTCTGCGAAGAACACCTTGCGGAGAAGGTGCGGCTGGGCACCGTGTCAGATAGTCTTTGGAAAGACTCCCCGGGACGACGAGGATATCATCGAACAAGAGATTGACGACGGAGTGTGGATCGCCAGGACGCCTGACGACGCACAACACCGGCGGGACGCTATACGTGCCGCCTCCAAGGCGGCATTCCTTAAGGTTCGTGCGGAGGAGAAGATCCGGCGAGGAAGTCTTCAACGAGCCCGGGTGCGCGGACGCGATCTAGCCAACGGTGAAATGGCTCTGTACTGGCGCAAGGACAAGAACAACAAGAAGGGAGCGTGGCGAGGACCTGGAGTGGTAGTTGGCAGACAGCAAGACAATTACTGGATTGCTCGCGGAGGTCGCTGCCAACTTTGTGCCCCGGAACATGTCCGCCCCGCTTCACCTGAGGAACTTGGAGGGCTTTTCGCAGTGCGAGCTACGCAGGCCGACCTCCAGAGGTTGATCGAGAACGACCACGATGACGAGGACACCTACGTGCGAGAGGACGAGGACGCCGACGAGCTGATCGACATCCCGTGGGACGAGATGTCTCTCGACGGAGGAGAGGACCTTGGCGAGGCCCTCGAGTTCCCGAATGAGGACATCGACCGCGACGAGGCCGGCGGACAACGACGACGCCTTGAAGGGGACGAAGGGGGGGGACAACCCGCCGTGAAGCGCCGAGTGCGCTCCAAGATGCCCCAAGAGGTCCACATGCTCAAGCGAGCAACCACTCGGCGCGGACGAGAGAAGCAACTGGAGAAGGAGCTCCCTTGGGGAGCCATCCCGGTGGATAAGCGCCCTCTTTTTCAAGAAGCCGAGGCCAAGCAGTGGGAGGAGCACTTACGGCTGGGCGCTCTCACACCGCTCGACGTTGAGACGAGTCTCAAAGTCGTCGCGACCGAGGGCTCCAGGGTGCTGTCCAGTCGCTTTGCCTACCGCGACAAAAACCTTGCAAAGCGGCGTACAGATCCCCAGGTGCCTTGGAAACCGAAATCGAGATTGGTGATCGGTGGACACACCGATCCAGATGTCGTGTCCGGGGCCCTGAGGACAGATTCGCCGACTGTGTCAAGGACAGCAGTGATGTGCTTGCTACAGGTGGCGGCGAGTAGACTGGACGACGACTGGTCTGTGAGCGCAGGAGATGTTACGGCTGCTTTTCTAAACGGGGATCCCCTGGAGCGTCGTTTGTTTCTTCGGCAACCACGTCATGGACTACCTGGACTGCATCCATCCCAGATCATCCAAGTCAACAAAGGGGTTTTCGGCCTGATCGATTCGCCCAGGATGTGGTGGCGAAAGTTCAAGAAGGACATCCAGCAGCAGGTGATCAATGTTGGCGAGGGCGCGCAGGCAAAGTTCTTTGCCTCCCCGCTGGACCCGTGTGTGTTCCAACTACTACTTGTCGGAGAAGATGGAAAGAAGCTGGACGGAGCCAAGCCACTCTGCTACGCCGCGGTCCATGTGGATGACATTCTCTTGGTTGGACCCAGGACTTTAAGCCGCTCAGTCCAAGAGCAGCTCTCCACATGCTTTCCGGTAGAGGAATGGGAGAACGACGCCTTCGACTTCATCGGCAGCCACATTGAGGTCCTCAAGGATGAAATCCGGATTTCCCAGGGTGGCTACGTTGAGAGCCGCTTGTTTGAGGTGGACCTCGACCCGAAGGTCCCCGACGAGGCCAAGGCAACCCCGGAACAGGTTGCGGATAACAGGTCGCTGATAGGAGCTCTCTCGTGGTTGGCCTCCCAAACGAGACCGGACTTGGCATGCGGAGTGAGCATGGCGCAACAGCTACAGGCATGCCCCACGGTAGAGGACATCAAATTCACAAACCTACTAGCTCGCCGGGCCCTACAGCATGGACAAGAGGCCATCGTCCTGAAGAAGATCGACCTCGGCAAGCTCGTCGTGGCAGTGTTCCACGACGCTGGGTGGGCGAACGCACCCGACTGCAACCAGGATCCGATTTATTTCCTGTCCCCTTCAGACGAGGAACGGGGGGAAATCCATGATGGACCCTGGGCTACGAAGGAGCGCCGTGCCAAGCGCAAGAACTCCAGAGTGGCATCGCAACTCGGGATGCTGGTGATGTTCACTGAAACCGGAGCCCTACAAGGAGACAGTGCCAATGCGAGCATAGTCGAATGGAAGTCACATGCTTGCGACAGAGTATGCCGCTCAACTTTCGGGGCAGAGACCATGGGATGCATTGAGGGGATCGAGCTTGCCCACTACGTGCGGGCAATGATCGCCTCCTTCTTGACCGGAGATCTTAACCGCCACACCGGCGAAGAGTACCCTATGGTGGCCATGACGGACTGTCGGTCCCTCTACGATCATTTCCACAAGGATGGACTCCCAAGGACTCCATCCGACCGTCGCCTGGCAATCGACATCGCTTGCCTACGCCAGACGTTGCAGAGCGAAGCTCGCGGACATGGTGGCGGGGATGAACGCGCACCTTTGGTCTGGGTTCCTACTGAACTTCAACGTTCAGATCTTCTCACCAAGCCCCGAAAGGCCGGAGACTGGTGGTCGTCAACTACCACACTGAAAATTCCAGTGAGAGAGAAGATGTTTCTGAACCAATGTAAATCTGTAGGAGTAGACCGAAGCACCGGGAGCGCTGTGAATTGCAGAACTCCATGAACCAGTGCTGTGTGCGATAATCGTCGCTGTCTGTGAATTGCAGAACTCCGCGAACCGAAGGCTCATGTGTTTTCTGTAGTGCAAAAGGCCCTGTGTGACCGCTTAGTGTTTTAGATTGGTAGCGGAGCCTGCGGGCTCCTCATGACGGCTGCCGGTGGCAGCGAACTTCAAGCTGGTGAAGAACCTGAAGATCCTTGGGCCGAAGCTGCGCAGCGCCGAGGCCATGATGATGATGATCCTCCTGTGGAGGAAAGCAACCGGTCCCTGCGGGGACGCCGCACATGGAGAAGGAGTGACCCTGGGGAGGCTCCCGCCGGAGCGAAAGGGGGTCACGACACAGAGGGCAACGGGTGTCACGCAGATGACGCTGAGCCACCTCGCGGCGATGCAGATCAACCTACTGGAGGGTGGGGCGACTACTACAGTGGCGGCTGGGGCCGCCATGACGCGCGAGGACGTGGAGATGTTCGGTCCACCGGGGACAACGGCTGGCGGTGGAGCAGATGGAACGATGGATCGTGGACGAGGCCTTCTACCGTGGTGGAGGACCAGTATGAAGATCGGGACCACGCGGACGATCCGCAGGCCACTCGCTGGAACGATGGCGGGTGGTGGACCAGATGGAATGATGGATCGTGGGCCACTACGCCTTCTACGACGACGGCAGCCTCGACAGGTGATCCCGATCAAGGTCATGAGCTGGCGACCGCTGGGCGCGCTCCGGGATGGGCGCGACTGACCTCTTCAGCTACTACGCGAAGGAACTCGGGTGTGACCGGCGGCGAGAACGATCATTGGGCACATGGCATCGAACCTGATCGTCCGGGATCTCTTGATGCTGGCGGCCCAGGTGACCGGAGGAGCGGGATCAGTGAGAAAATGAGCGTCCCGGTTTTCGCTGCGGAGGACGTTGGTGAGAAGCTTGGAAGCAGTGCGAGATCGTATCTCCGTCAGATAGATGCTTGGTCCAAGCTGACGCGGACCCCCCGAGACCGCCAAGCTTTACTCCTTTACCAATCTCTCCAGGGTCGCGCCTGGATAGAAGCAGAGGAACTCCAAGTAACTAACCTGGCGAACGAGGACGGCATCGAGTACTTCAAGGCGTGGGTGGTCGAGCGCTACCAGGAGGTGGAGATCGGGAAGATCGGCGAGGCCCTGAACGGCTTCTTCAAAAGACTCCGGCGCGGACCCCAACAGTCAATCCGCGAGTTCAACGGTCTCTTTGATAGGTCTTATGCTCGTCTGTTGGAGATCGACTGCAAGCTTCCGGAAACCGCGAAGGCCTGGGCATACCTCAACGCCCTCGGCCTCACTCAGGCCGAAGAGTTGTCGATCCTTGGGAGTGTTGCAAATGAGTACGTGACGAACAAGTTGCAGCGTGCAGCCGTACTGCACGAGAAGAGTCTTAGGAAGGCCTGGGACCGTGACCGGGCCAAGCCGTGGGAGCGTGACCGGGGGGTGAAAGCCAACTCCGTCCACAACGCCGACCGCGTCGACGAGGAGAACGACGACAAGGACTCCCACGACGAGTTCCCGTTTGCGCAGGACGATGATGAAGGAGCCCACGTCTACGAGGCCTACATGACGGCGAAGATGCAGTACAAGGACACCCTCAAGGCGCGAGGACTGGACCAAGATGCCCTCCGCAAGGCTACGGAGGACAAGATAGCCCTGGCAAAGTCGAAGTCCTACTGCAGCGTGTGCAAGCAGCGCGGACATTGGCACCGAGATCCCCAGTGCCCTGCCAACGTTGCTAATGCTGCCAAGGGGCGAGATGGTTCCAAGGATGCCGTGCAAACAGCCCACGCCATCTTCGAGACGAGCCAGGCCGCCGGTGATCGCCTCTATGGCATTACCGACTGTGCATGCACTAAGTCCGTGATGGGTACGTCCTGGCTACAGCGGTTCGTGGATTATATGAAGCAGTGCAACGTTGAGGTGCCGCTTCTGCCTGAGCAGGACAGCTTCCGCTTTGGGGCTTCGAGGGTTTACCACGCTTCCTACGCAGTTGTGGTACCTGTGCGACTTGGGAACACTTGGGTTTTGGTTCGTGCCGCAGTGGTTCACGGGGACCTCCCCCTGCTGATCAGTCGGAGTGCCCTGGCCTCTTTGGGCATGATCTACGATATGGACTCCCATGTGGCGGACTTCAAGACGGTCGGGGTGAAGAGTATGCCTCTCGAAATGACTACCAGCGGACATCCTGCTTTGAATGTCTACTATGGGTCCAATGAGATTCCTCTGTACGCTCAGCCGAAGGCTTGGGATGCCAGCAAGAGCATCCGCGGAGAGATTCAGATCATTGCGCACCAGCAGGCATACATGGTAGGACCTGTCGAGCTTCCCGTGAGTGTACCGCATCCCCAGGTTTTCTACGAGAAGAAGCTCCCCCCCGAAATCAAGAACCTCCTTAGCAGCGATGTTCTTTCAGTAGATGGCTTCATCCGATGGTGGCAAACTACAAATATTACAACCGACTTCTGGTTAGAAACCAAGGCCTCTTTGATCCGAGTCCACGTCGTACCCAGGAAGTCCTTTTTCTCCTCAGACAACTGGAAAACTCAGCAATCTCTTCTACGAGATAATCTTCAACGACTTCTTGGTAGCGTCAGGACCACCCATGCTGTTAGTTGTCGTTCACTTCGCGGCCTGCCAATCAGTCATGACATGTGGGAAGAGGTGCGTCATCTTGCAAAACCATGTCATCAGTGTTTGTGGGTCGGCCGAACAGTGTTCAATCGTAGAGCACTTTGCGATCCCAGCTTTCCTCCTTCGACTGCGTCGGGTGATGACCCAGCGTCCCACATGGCAGTTGTCGAGGAAGGAGCTGTTGTCCGAGGCGACGGCGATGGGTCTGTCTCCCTTACCGGAGTGGACCAATGTGGAGCTTCGGAGCGCTATCACGGAGATGAAGGACGAGAAGAAGAAAGCGAGCGGTCTCCCCAAGGGTCTGTCGAGCATGCGCCTGGCAGAGCTGAAGGAGGAAGCCGAGAAGCTAGGACTCCCTTACGCAGCGAATGCCACGCGCGGGGTGTTGATGCGGAACATTCGCGACTACTACGCCACCCCCGCGGACACGGTGATGACCATCGGCAGGCACAAGGGGAACACCTACGCCCAGATACCTCTGTCCTACGGCAAGTGGGCCGACGAGGAGGAGAAGGTGAATGGCGGGAACATGCACCCGGATCTGCGGCGCTACGTGATGTGGTACCGCAGGAAGATGAACGACGACTTCGAGGAGGAGCCCACCACGTTGGAGAAGATGTCGAACCCCGAGAAGTACGCCGTGATCAACCCGGAGGACTACGCATCAAGCGCCGGGAGCAGCGACCTGTCTTGGGCCGAGGTGAAATCCCTGGCGGACAAGAAGGGGAAGGGGTATGCCAAGGAGGTGACGAAGGAGCTGCAGTTGCCCATGCCGATGACGAGGACAACTGCCCCAGCGGCATCAAGCTCGAGCTCCCAACGTACCGGAAAGCGGAGGACCAATGCCAACGAGGGAACTACTCGTATGGGATTGGAAATCCCCCAGGAGATCAAGGCGGAGATGATGGCTTTGGAGACCCGGCTGGCGACGTTGAAACAACAGATGGGACCGCAGGATCACGACGACGGCGGATTGTGAGGTTCGCCGATGAGGTCGACTACAAGTACTCTGACGCGCGGGGCGGCGAGACCAAGGACATCAACCACTACATCAACGAGAAGATGAACAACCTCGAGAACCCAAGAGCGGGCAAGGACACCGAGGATTACGTCAACATGGATGCCAAGGAACGTCTCAATAGAGAGAGAGCAGACCACGTCAAGGGCACTAATCCGCGCAATGCTACCGAGGATCCGCCTGCTCAATGTCCAGGTCACCTTCAGGACACCGTGATGGTCAAGGGCAACTACAACGAGGACTATGCCAACAAAGGGGCCAAGGGCTACCACACCGTGAAGATTGACGACGTCGAGAACCCCAACCTGGGCAAGGACGCCAAGGATTATCCCAACACAGATGCCAAGGAATGTCTTAGCAGGGAGGGACCAAGCTACGTGCACTTTCAGGACACCGTGATGGTCGAGGACAACTACAACGAGGACTATGCCAACAAAGGGGCCAAGGACTACCACACCGTGAAGATTGACGACGTCGAGAAACCCAACCCGGGCAAGGACGCCAAGGA